AAATACAAAGCTTTTGCCTTGAGTGAGGTAATGCAGCTGTGGAGGCTGAAGCCAAAGAACTTGGCTGAAGGACTTGTCTTGTTTGTATTTCTAGGCTCCCACCCCTCCATCTTCCTACTGACCCAACCCACTTTCCCTCCCTGCTTCTTAACAAGTTTTTATAGGACTACAAACTTTCCATTTTCACGGACGCTGCCAAACCTTTGAGTTTCTCTTTTGAGACGTAAGACCATATGTTCACATAAGAGAGCCTCTGAGATGTTCCCAGAGTGAACTAAGCCTTCAGCTTCTAGCTGGGGTAGTTGTTGTCTTTTTCTTTTAAGTGTTTGATGATTTTTTTTCTTGAAAAAAAAGATTATAGGAAAAAAAAACTTTTAAAGATAGATGGAGAGAGAAATGCATTGTTAATATTAGATAACAGTGGCCTGGAATTCATCCCAAATTGAATCATTAAAAGTCTCTAGAGATTCTCAGTCATCCAGGTCATGGTTGTCCTAAAAATGCTTTTTCAGGAGGCAACTGGACTTTCTTGGTTTTTTTCCCTGAAGACATTTGCTTGGCGGTCAGTTATGGGCCGACGGCTGAGGGTCACTCCAATTTCAAAGGGGGAGGCGTCACAGGTGATCCGAACCGGCAAAGCATAGTTGAACTGGATGAGCACGCTGTTGGAGGATAGGAGCTCTTTTACCGCTGCAAAGGCCCAGTCTTCCTTCTGTCCCCAGGTCCACGGCGCTGTCTTTCCCAGGAGATTGTGCAGCGGCTCAGCAACGGTGGCCTTCTATTGTAAAAAAATACTATAAAAGTTCAATAGTCCTAAGAAGGCTTGGAGCTCTGTCTTGTTCCTTAGGGTGGGGGCATTTCTAACAGCCTTTACTTTGCTGTCGGTGGGGTGGATGCCAGACCCGTCTATGAGGTATCCCAGGAACTCTATCTGCCTCACGCTGATTTTACATTTCTTTGGGTTCACTTTAAGTCACTTCTCCTTGAACCTCTCCAAAGTCTCGCACACATGTTCCATCAGCTGCTCTATGGAGTCCCCTGAGATGAATACATCATCAAAGTATGGCACTACCCCTGGAATTCCATGCAGTAGCCGCTCCATTAAACACTGAAACAGTCCTGGGGCTACACTGACTCCAAACTGCAGTCTGGTGCATTTGAAAGCCCCCTGTGGGTCACAATCGTCTGTGCTTCTGTGGTGGCTTTGTCCACAATTTGCAATTGTTGGTATGCCTGGGCCAGGTCCCGTTTGGCGAATATTTTCCCGCTTCCTAGGGAATGCAACAGATGTTGCAGAACTGGCACCAGGTATGCGCTTTGCTGAAAGGCCTTATTCAGCGTACACTTGTAATCTGTGCAGAGGCAGACAGAACGATCTGGCTTCATGGGGGTGACTATTGGGGTTTCCCATACCGCGAGGTCGGTTGGCATGAGGATTCCTTGGGCAATTAGTCTGTCCAATTGCTCATCCACCTTGGGCTGTAGAGCAAAGGGAACCCTTTGGGGTTTGAATCTGATGGGGGCTACATGAGGGTCTAGGTTAAATGAAATGGGTTTCTCCGTATATTTACCTAGGCCCCCATTGAAGATGTCCATGAACTCTGCCAGTAGCCAATCCAGGTCATGGGTTGAGATTCGATGCAGGCCAGTGATGTCTATCCCCAGGGTCTTGAACCATTCCACTACCAGTAGGGACGGTTGTTGGCGACAACGGTGAGGGGTAGATGGCCCTGGAATTCATGGAACACCACCTTGACCTCCATTCTTCCTAGGACTTGGATCTGGTTCCCCTGGTAGTCGTTGAGCTGGACGTTGGGTGATTTGAGGAGCTTCTTGCTGGCTGTCGGGTTCAATTTCTTAATGGTTTGCCAGGACACGATCGTAAAGTATGATCCTGTGTCCAGCTCCATCTTGCATGGTCCCACTTCAATGGTCACCATGGCATAGAACTTTTCCCCTTCATAGGTGCCTGAGTGGCCCACAGGGATGTGATGGATCTCCCTCTGGACTTGGTACTGTTCCTCTCTCTGCCTATTCTGCTGTTGGCTGGGTCATGGGTTGTTTTGTCTCCACTGCGGAGCTGTGGGTCTTGGATGGGATGGGGTGGGCTGGGATGCTCTGCATGCCTTGGCAATGTGGCCTTTCCGCTGGCATCTGCGGCAGATGAATTCCTGGAAATGGAACGTTGCTCTTGAATGGAATCCCATGCAGCCTGGGCAACATGGCTGCTTGCCATCTATGTCCCATGCGCTTTGTCTCCTCTCTGGGTACACACAGTGGATGGCATCAGCATCGTCCCTTTCATCATCATACTCCAGAATTTCAGATGCCCAGTTGGGTTCCCTGAACGTTTGGTGTACCCCACTGGTTTTCCTTACGTGCACTTCTGAGTTATCAGATGACTCAGCTGCCCGGGCTTCCTCGATCACATCCTTGAATGAGACTCCCCTTCTGATTAGCAGTTTCTTTTGCAAGGAGAGGTCTCTCATTCCTAGGATGATCCAGTCCTTCACCATTTCTTCTGGGTTGATGAAGTCACACCAGGTCGCGATTTCTCAGAGGCTGGCCATGAAATCATTCACTGTCTCGCCTTCCCGTTGGCGCCGATGGTAAAACACATTCCGGCTCACCATGGGGGCGGCGGATGGCGCATAGTGGTCTTCCAGGGTGCATTGTAGGGTTGTCCATGTGACGGTCTGCTGGGGCAATCAATGTCTGTGCCATCTTATAGATTTTCGTTCCACAGTAAGTTAGGAATAATGCCCTCTTCCTATTGTCCGGCTGGTAGTCATTGGCTTCCAGGAACATCCATGTATGTGTGCCAATCCTCTATCTGTAGGTCGAAGATTACTGGTGCAGGGGATGCTTGCGATGCCATCTCGTGCTGTGGTGCAGGGTCTTGGTCCTTGTGCGAAATGGCTGCTTGTCCAACGAGGGTTCTTGGGTCCCTTTGTCCTTTGTCGCCAGTGTTAGATCGGCAAGAAGCAGCAGGCGAGAGGCGTGAGTGAGTTTCAGCACTTTTTATTGCAAGAGTAAGTGACTACGCTCTGCCAGATGGGCTGCTGGAGTTCGCCTTTTAAGGAGCTCCAGCAGACCAGCCGGCCAATGACAGTTGTTTAAACTTCCCGCAGTTTGGGCAACCAATCCACGGTGAGCATGTAAAAACATGTAAATTAAGGAGCTTCAGCAGCACAGCCGGCCAATGACAGTTGTTTAAACTTCCCGCAGTTTGGGCAACCAATCCCCGGTGAGCATGTAAAAACATGTAAATTAAGGAGCTTCAGCAGCACAGCCGGCCAATGACAGTTGTTTAAACTTCCCGCGGTTTGGGCAACCAATCCCTGGTGAGCATGTGAAAACATGTAAATTAAGGAGCTTCAGCAGCACAGCCGGCCAATGACAGTTGTTTAAACTTCCCGCGGTTTGGGCAACCAATCCCTGGTGAGCATGTGAAAACATGTAAAT